GAACCAGTTTTTTAACCAGGAGCGATTCCCACTCACTTCTGATACTTTATTGACACGAGTTCCTATTTCAATATAGGTTTAATTCAAGGTTAGCCGCGTGATAGCTCTTCATTAGCGAAAAGGTCCAAGTGATATTTTGATTGACTTGTTGTTTAGGATCCCGAGGTTTTTTAACACCTTTTCGCTAGCTTAACTGGCGAAAATATTCTAGGAATTTGCCCTTCAATTCCAAATTCTTTGATGTGCCGCCAGATGCCGTGCAAAAATATCACCGCTTGCGGCTCCTCGTGCTTCATGAAAGGCTAACATTAACAGTGCTTCTTACCTTGAACGCTGGTTGGCGGGTTTTTCAGCTTCTGCTGACGAATCTTATAAGGTGAAATCACCTGAATAGTTTTCCCCTCGTGCTTAATCTCTTGAGAATATTCTATCAACCTCTGAATTATTGGCCTGGCAGCTGGATGTACCACATTAGCCCCACCACAGGCCTGCTGGGAAGCACGCCTCTCTTCCCACCGTCGCTTTCGTTCGAGGCCGTACTCTGACCAAGTAAGAAAATAGTATCCAGGCTTCTCAGTCGGTAGTACCTACGAGTGTAAAACACCGCTGATTGAAAACATGTTGTCGCAAAAAAATTGATGCAGGTTCATACGCTCTTTTCCAAGACTTTTCCAGGGCCCAAGTTGATTTTTCTAGGACTCCAAAATTCACATATTTCAGCTAAGCGCTTTCAGTCACTCCCAAAATCTCAATATTAATTCTCCTTACTATTTGAATTCAAGGCCTTTCCAGGACCTGTAGTCTTTTTCCAGAACTTTCCAGTCCTAGAAAATGCCACAATAAAATTCCAGCTTTAAGACCAAAACATTTAATGGGAGCAAGAATAAAACTGCTTGGTTGATTCTACCAGAGAAAAAACAAATTACCATAACAAGTAAATAAAATTCGATAACGCTCTCAAAAATATTTGAAATGAGGGTTAGAGACTAATGGGAGTGATACAACGGCAAGCGCACAAGCTGGCTGGAGAAATGCACAAGAAATACCAATCCTAGTACTGCATGCATGAGGCACAACCGAGTGCAGTATGAAAGAAATTGATCCAATAGATATCTAAAGCTTGTAAAGGACGGTGGAGTACTTTGGGGGCGATGGAATTATTTGTTTTGCAGACGGAACTTCCAAAGAGGGTCTATTATAGGGGGTCGCACATTCCGCAAACCACCTTATATAGTTTACTCTTTCTAGATCGCAACCTGCTTTGGTTTTTTTCTCAAGGCCGAACCCGCCTTTGTTTTCTGGACCGTGAACCACCCGACAAATACGGATGAATCTGCAAGCCGCAAATGAAGTAAACTGCCACACCGCCAGAGTATAACAGACCCTCTAACAATTTAGCAACTGACAAACTACGACTTGGAAAGTTTTCGGTATCTGCATTTTCCTTTGAGATAAGAGGATATCTTGCCAAAAAAACTATGCAGTGATTTTAGCTACACGTTAGTCTATCTAACATTAAAATTTAAAAAGAAAAATCCAATTTGCATTTGCAGCAAACTTTTACAATTTGTTTGATTTTTACAGACAAATATTCTTTAACCGACAATCTCTTTTTATCTAATTCGTAAGAAAGCAGTCACAAACCTTGAGTAAGTGAGTGTGATTGGGGTTCGATCTCTCAAAATCTGGGTCCACAGCCTTCAGCTCTGTGTGCAGCTGGTACTGTGAATCTTCCTCCATTACGTACACATCAAAAGTGTCAGATATCTCGGGAAGATAAGTACCATCGCCGGAGCTCCCCATGAAAACTGTACCAGCGTGTGTCCCTTCCACTGCGGAGGTCTTTGCGATATTTTCAGCGATTTTCCAAAGCTTCTGAATGACATTCTCATTAACTTCCAGAACAGTTTTCAACTGTTGCACGTTCGATGATGTTGCACTCGATTTACCTTCGCTCAGATCCTTACTCTGAATACTCAGCGCCTTCATGTCATCCATAAGAGAGATGATGATAGAATCCGTCTTATCCTCCAACTCCCTTGCGAGCTTAGAAACTTTCATCGTCATTTTTCCTTTCGATTATAGCGAAAAGACCGTGCCACACTTTATTTCAAAAACGAAAGTAGAGAACACTTCCGCGATATCGTTTTCACTCACGTGACGAAAATCATAGCAACCGTTACTACGCCGCCATATTGGTGTACCAAAAGTGTAAACAAAACTAGAGCGCCGTTTGCGTGCAAGATGGTTTTGTGCGTGATTGTGGGCTGTGCTTACAGAAGTGGACGAAATAACGGGGTTTACTTCGCAAGAGTCCCTTCTGTAGTTACAAATCAAGGTAAAGAAGCGGAAAATTTGTCTAGAGAAAGGAGATCACGCTGGATTTCGGCGATTAGTAGAGACGATCTTACAGNTATTTCAAAAACGAAAGTAGAGAACACTTCCGCGATATCGTTTTCACTCACGTGACGAAAATCATAGCAACCGTTACTACGCCGCCATATTGGTGTACCAAAAGTGTAAACAAAACTAGAGCGCCGTTTGCGTGCAAGATGGTTTTGTGCGTGATTGTGGGCTGTGCTTACAGAAGTGGACGAAATAACGGGGTTTACTTCGCAAGAGTCCCTTCTGTAGTTACAAATCAAGGTAAAGAAGCGGAAAATTTGTCTAGAGAAAGGAGATCACGCTGGATTTCGGCGATTAGTAGAGACGATCTTACAGACGACATTTTGGAGAATGACCTTGTTTGTGGAAGGCACTTTGTTTCTGGTAAGGCTGCGAAAGGCTGGGATAGATTTAACGTTGACTGGCTTCCAACACTGTGTTCAGGGCACTCTAAGAAAGCAGTAGGTCCCAAAAACCTGGAGAAAGCGGCAGAGCGAAGCCAGAGAGCTAGGGATCGTGAACAGATCAAAAGACCCGCACAAGAACAAAGGGAAAAAGAGCTTGAAGCCGAGAGGACCGCCAAGAGGATAAATCTTAGCGAACCTAGCCACCAAATCGCAGATGTGAATTTTATTTTTGACGATCAGATCGAGGAAACGCCAAACGAAAAGGGAATTCAAACTGAGAAAGTTGTCTGCAAAGAAACTGGCATTCAGTCGGAGGAATATGATTATTTATTCACGCCACTTAAAGATCACTAGGCATTTGATCAACATGAGTTTGCCAATAACGAGGATAAAGTTAGATTTTACACAGGGCTGCCTTCCTTCGATATTTTAAACGCTGTTTTTCTTCACGTTTCCTCTCATGTATCTCGTGACACTTTAACTTTGACAAAATTTCAAGAATTTGCCTTGACACTGATGAACTTGAAACTAGACATGCCACTGAAAGACTTGGCCTTTCGTTTTGGTGTTTCCCTCTCGACAGTATCTCGAGTTTTTTCTAGTTGGATGATTGCTTTGGATGTCAGACTTTCACCATTAGTGTCTTGGCCTGATCGAGAAGACCTGTGGCGCACAATGCCACAGTGTTTTCAGGATTCTTTTGGGAAAAAAGTAACTGTTATTATTGACTGTTTTGAAGTTTTTATTAATCGCCCGTCAGGTCTTTATGCCAGGGCACAGACATTCTCCTATAAGAACCACAATACAGTTAAGGTTTTGATTGGGATCACACCTCAGGGCAGTATTTCCTTTGTTTCCAAAGCGTGGGGTGGAAGAACATTAGACAAATTCCTAACTGAGAACTGTGGTCATTAAAGAATATACTACCAGGAGATTTAGTTTTAGCAGATCTTGGTTTTTACCATACAAGAAAGTCTTATGTTCCATCAGGCCCAACTGGCTATTCCAGCATTCACAAGAGGAAAGGACCAGCTCGACCCAGTAGATGTTGAGCGGACAAGGGGTGTTGCCCATGTAAGGATACATGTCGAAAGAGTGATTGGTCTCCTCCGCAGGAAATACTCTATTCTATCTGGAATTCTTCCAATTGATTTTCTTATATGCAATCTCCAAGGCTCCAAGGAAGAAGCAGTGCCCATGATTACTATTAGTATTATTACTGTATGTGCTGCTCTTGTTAACCTATGTCCAGGCATTGTTCCTCTTGATTAACAATATTACATCATAAAACAGGTTTCCAATGACCAGACCCTTAGTGACTCTTGATGTAAATGTCAAATGTGTGATTCCAGAAAATATCCATACCCCATCCACGGATGGTCAGTGGAAGTTCGTAAGGGGTGGGGGGGGCTAAAGGGTAGAAATTTCCGAGGGGTATGGGGGGTGCTCAAGAGAAGAATTTTCCACGGGGTTGTAAAAGACGCGAACAATCGTATGAGTCATACTTCAGTATATGTGGATTATTTTGATTTGTATTACAACAAAAATAAGAAATAGATGCCCTTTCGAGAAAAAACTTAAAGATGTAACGGTCGGTCCGTCCAACGTTTGACTTTGACGAAGTCTTTAAATAAATGTTGTCCTTCGGGCAAATCAATCGCAATTCTTGGTGCAGTTCTCAACAGGTCCGTTGCTTCTTCGGGAATAAATTTTAGCGCATCGGTTAATAATATCGAACGTGTATCTAGATTGCGGACTCGATTGCAGATTAGTCTGATAAAAACTTAGGTTAATCGAGAACAAACGTCGTCTATCTCGGCGCTATATGTCTCAAGCTTCGTGTAAACAACTTTATGCAAATTTCTGTTGACATTCAGGGAGCTCATCGCGACAAAGCATTGCGTGACGACGCAAATGAGAGCTTTAATTTGCTGTATTTTATTATTGACTTCCAATAAAGTACCGTTGAAGGCAAGCTGTTTGTCGAACAGACTTCTCGCCAAATCAAGTTTTTCCCGAAAATATTAACGATCTGTTTCTTCTTTGTCGACTGTGTCGAGGAGACTTTCGATCACGTGCTAGGCGACGAAATAGATCATATTTCACCGATGTTCATTTCTGAACATGAATTGATGCAAATATGGGACGCAAAATGAATGTTTACATATTTTGTTCTTTCATAACCCAAATAAGTTTTTTTGTAATTCTTGAAATTTGTTAAGCTGCAAGCGTAATTCATTCAAAGTTAAAATTAATTACAAACATTGACTTTGTGGTGACTTTAGGACCCGAGGCCGAACATTTTACGCTAAACTTTGTTTGAAAGTTAGTTTTTAGTAGATCCGTTTTGAAATTCGAATATCTTCACATAGTTTATAGTGTATGAGCCAGGACCTCAAAAATGGTCGATTGGTACCATTCAAACGGACAAAGACTTATTCCTGTAAAAACCTAGGTTATTAACCCAAGTTTTTATTTTTGTGTGATAGCACTGCACAAAGTGTCATCTTTAAGCGTTACATCCCGTTTTTCTTACCCCTACCCCCCTAAGAGGACTTTTACTCACTTAGCCTACTGAACATAAAGAAAAGCATTTACAAGTATGTTATGATCCATACAATGCCCAATTTATATGCTCACGTCACACGTTATTGACTTAACAATCACTCTTAACCACCAAATACACGTCATAGTGATCACGTGATAGGTCGAATTGCCATAAAATGCCAAATATACCGAACTACTGTTTTCAGATTGGCAAAAAGATGAAATATGTACCTTCCGAAGTATTTTAAAAGTTATCTCAATGGTTCGACTTTACATTTAACGTTCAATTGTGCAAGCTGATGCAAATCCCTGTCTAAACAATAATATTCTGCCGTAATATTCATTTTTAAACACTCGTTCCCAGTCTCCCAGACTCGCGGCTCTAGCTATTTTTGGCATTGCTGCTTACGATATTGTTAAAAAACTTCAATTTTTACTAATTGAAGTATATTTTTCTGGGAAGGAAACTCATCTTCATGCAAAAAAGCGCATTTTTCTTTATTTGAAGAAACTTTCCTTTTAAGTTTTAGCTACTGCGGCATGCATTCCTATTGAAAATGGAAGTTGCTGTTTCTCTAACAACCCAGAATATTTGCAATCTACAAAGTTCATTAAAAGTCATCATCATCATCTTCGTCTGCTTCATTATCAATAATGTTTGATGAATCGTCTTGAGCTGGCTGGTTGGTGCAGTCGTTTAGCGAGCAGAGATCCGTGCACTTCAAACCACTGTTCATGCAAACACAACTTGGGAGTTCACAGGTCTTCTTACATTTACACGCCAGCAGTTCCAGGACAGCAGAAGGAGCTGGCTGCCCGTCCATCCAGTCGATCACTAGTTCAGTGGATGCAGCGTCAGTGGAGGTCTGTGTTATCCACCCCATACCAACTGGACTGGGAATGTCTGGGTTAGCCTCCAGGCTCCGTCTCCATAAAGCTGCAGGAGTGATGTAATACTAAATTAGTTGTTATCCTCATCACATTTCCTGTGACAAATATTTAATAGAAACAGGCATTGTCAACTAACCCGCTTGGTAGTTTGCACGAAGAATGTGTTTCCGAAGGGAGTCCTGGCAAGGAGGTAGCTGGTGTGACTCCAGTTCCCCATTCTTTGCACAGAACAGCTCGTATCGTGCATCATTCACGTGGCTGGTTGTGTTGCCGACTGGTATGTACATGGAGCAGGTGAACTTCTCAAGCAAAGTGTAAAGGTCCTCTGATACTGTCCAGGACTGGCCAAGCTCTCGGAACGCTCTTCTTGCGCCTTCATTGCTTTTAAGGATTTTAAGAGCCCCTATCTTTCCTTTACCAGCAAAGGCACTTACTGAATCGCACCCTGTAAAAGAATGCAACCCAATCAGTGCCTCGCATATCTCTCGCCCGGTTCTCTGAACTGCTCCTTTGATGTCGACAAGTCGCGTCCTCGTTCTGGAACCGCACTTCATATAGAGTCTAGTGTTGATAATGCTTGAGAAGTTCAAAAGCAAGACAAACACGTCTGTGTCTTCTGAGATCACTGCGACTGCTTCATACCCCTCCTGGGCAGCATGTTTAGCGTGAAGCAGTAGACGAGTGTCAGCTTCCTCCTGGTTACTTGTCAGCTCTGCCACATTCTCGCTTCCCCTTTCAGTTATCTTCCAGCATTCGCTCTCGGCAGTAACAAACAATGTTTTTCCTTTCAGCCTTCTCATGCAGTCTTCTTCTCTCCATTCTCTGGAAATGAACTTGATTAGACTTGTCTTGTTCTTGACCTCCGACAGGAACTTTCTCCACTGCTTGACCAGCTGAGTAGAACTTATATGCGACAGTTGAACTCCCGCAACTTCTCCACGCATGGTTCTCTCTGCGTTCTTAATTGACATATCTCTGTATGTATCGAAAACCACGTCGATTCTGTTGCTCTGGGAACCTTCGTGAAGAACTTTTGTTAGAAGAGAAGAAGCAACCATTGCGAAGGTTGTCTGTCCTCCACCAACGCTCAACTTCTGAACTAGACTCATACCGTCGATAATAGCAGCTGAGTTCTGCGGAAGGCCATCAGCTAACGGTACATCCTTTTGGAGGGGAGTCGCCAGCGCTGCTTTGTTTGTTTTTCGAGGAAACCCTTCTGTAGTTGCTAAAGACCACGGTAATGGCCCCAAGCTGTACTGTAGCAGTTCTCTCACATCAATCTTCCGGCTCTGACCAATGATTATGATCCGCCCAAAAAGAGACCTATCGGCTTTCAAGACCATCGTCCTGCCGTCGGTGGAAACCTTTTTCTTCTGACTAAGGGAAGAAAAGGTTTTCAGTTTGTTCAACTTCATTGTGTCATGAAATTTCTTCTGTGGTGGAGACGATTCCAGACGTTGCTCTTTGAACACTTGATAGGCCTCTTCGCCGACTTTTCGAGCGTTCAAAAGGTCTCTAGTTACATCTTCAGGCGCTTGTTTGGCAGTGGATAAACTCACAAGCTCTTTCCTCTCTGTGAAGGGATTGTTCCAGCCTTCAATCAGACTCTCTATTGTTGTTACTGCTTGCTCGTCTTTGCGCTTCCTGGTAGACAGCATTTCGTCATGATGATAGGATGGGCGCTTGACTTGAACCATGTCTCTCAAATGAGCAAGAAAGGAGCATCGGTACTCAGCTGTCATGTAGAATCTAGTTACCGCTCCTGTCTTTAGACTATACTTGGTAATGCCCCCACTTGACTTGGTGTCCTTGTTGACAGTGACTTCCGTGGTCTGGTCTACAGGGATGCGCCCAAAAGGGCTTTCTCCAGCAAGTTGAACGGAAAATCTTCCATTCATGAAGTTGGAATACACGTT